CAATTGTTGTAACAACTACAGTCTCTCCTATATATATATATATATATATATATATATATATATATATATATATATATATATATATATATATATATATCCTCAGTTGAAAAATTTATTTTTATTTTGATCCTCTCAAATTTTTTTTCTTAATGATGATATTAAATTCATTAACAAATAAGATGAAAAAATTTTTAAAAAACCCATAATCTCTAATATATTCTTTCACGGATCCCAGTAAAAAATAAATAAATATGACTAACTATATAATATACTAAATTTAACACAACCAACTTAATCACCCGCAATAACTCTACTCCATCAGTTAGTGTTTTGTATTGTATTGAATTACAATACCTTGATCTTTTATTTATTTTGTTTATTGAATTACAAAACTCTGATCTTTATTTAATTTTGTTTATTGAGTTAGAATACCTTGACCTTTTTGTTTATTGAATTACAACACCCTGATCTTTATTTTCTTTTCTTTATTGAATTACAATACCCAGATATTTCATTATTTTTTCTTTATTGAATTACAATATCCAGATCTTTCATTATTTTTTCTTTATTGAATTACAATATCCAGATCTTTCATTATTTTTTCTTTATTGAATTACAGAGCCATGATCATTTATTATTTCTTGTTCATTGAATTACGATACCCGGATTTTTTTATTAATTTTTGTTAATCGAATTGCAATACTCTAAACTTTTATCAATTTTTCTTTATTGAACTATCTTGGCATTTTCATGAAAGTTTTTATTCATTGATGTATACTTCATTTTATTTATTTAATAATTAGTTACGAATTAAAACAAATTACTCAGGGTGTATTCATTTTCATCAACATTTTCTATTGCTATTAAAACTGTGAAAACCCTCTATAAACATAAAGCGTTTTTATGTATATTTACTTATATGGAAAAGAATGAAGATTTTCAATAAATATATACATATTATTTGGAATACAGCTTTTCAATCAGACAATCTTGAAAAGATAGGGAATGAATTATGGTGAAAATGGTGCCTTGTTTCAAAAAGATTGATGAGCCACTGTTTTACACAATAATTTCATCCATATATATATATATATATATATATATATATATATATATATATATATATATACCCAAGTATAGGATTGGTGTATACGGAATAAATTACAATAACCAACAATTACTATTCTTAAAAGAGAGCTCAATAGAGCGAATATAATTATTTATTCGAAAATTATAACATAAATATGTTATAAAATCACTATAAAATAGCCATTTTGTTTCAACACCTCTGGTCTTTTATCAAGTGATGATTTGAATGTAAATTCAACATCATCATGATAAGACCAAGTGTTGAAACAAAATATTTTTAAAATATTTAATAAAATATTTATGGAATAATTTCGAATAAATATATATATATATATATATATATATATATATATATATATATATATATATATATATATATATATAAAAAAGAAGAAAAAAGAGGTTAATTTTTTCCTTCTGTTTTTTCAATGTTGAATATTCTCGATATGAGACATTTTCTGTTTAGTGTTAGTAATCCGAATGTCTTTCTTGAATTGGCAATGAAGAGTTCTGCGCGAAGGGTCATAACGAAAAAATTAATTATTTTTAATAATATGTGGAAATCTCCGCCTTTTACCTGAAGATGATCGCGAGACCAGAAACCCGTGTAGTAAAAGTATGGAAAATAAAGCATAATATTTTTTTAAAAATCCACATTACAACCAAAATCGTTTGCGGCACCTCTCTTCTTCTTTTAATATACATACTTTTCTCTCGTTGGAACCACTGCAACCTCTTTCTTTTATATATATATATATATATATATATATATATATATATATATATATATATATATATATATATATCAATTACCCTTAAATAAACCTCAGAGAACAATCAAACCTCCAGTCAGGTTTACTTTGCTCGATTCAGTAAAATTAACGGAAGTAATCAGCAGGGTGCAACCGGAACAAGCGGAGAAATCTCTGCTAGCGACACCTACCCAAAGGAAAAGTACACATAACCTTTGCTCCAGAAGGCACGTACCAGACTTAGCATTTTTCACACTCATATTGATTTCTCTTTCTTCCCGTGGAAACAATCGGAGAGAATATCTCTTGAGAAAACATCTACTCAAGGGGAAGAACTTTGTTATCTGGGGAAACCGAATTCCTTTTCCCCTCAAAATACAACAATTTTGCACTCTTCTTTCAACCACAAATAAAAGCTGTTAAACAGTTATTTTAAGACCTGGGTTTTGTTCATTCCACTCTCATTGCCGAGCACAACACACACGCGCATGCGCAAGTGGGAAAATGTCTTACATAGATCATGGCTGAACTAGATTGCTTCACTTGAATATGTTAAAGATTTCTAAACTGTTTTGCTGCGACATTTTCTTGTAATTACTGACAACTCCTTTCTTTAATTATTCACTGAATTTTTCATTGAATTATTTCCGCTTCGATAAATTTTGAATGATATATTTGGTCTGGTTGACAAAACTTAAGTACTGTGTTGCAAACCGTTTTTATTATTTAAAAGTCTGTCTCTAAAGATAATTCATCAGAAATGTCTGTCTTTGTCGAGAAAGTTCTTTGTAAACCCATTTTCTACCGATTTTATCGACTAACAAAATACCAAGTGTGATGTTTAAGAAGATAATCTCTGGCATCGATTTGCGAGTTTTATTTTTTTTGCTTTCTCTTTGCCACAGTCATTTCCTTTGCACTAATGTACCTAATGGTGGTGAGTTCAGTCTCTGCATCAGGTAATGAAAGAATATCCTCTAATTAAGCAGAAACGAATAACAAGCTGCGTCACAGGAGCAAAAATAACACAATAATTCACACATAAAAATATCACATACCAGCCAAATATTGGACTCCTGAAGATTGTTAGAGTTTAAGATGAATGGGGAGAAAGTCTTTGAGCGAGTAAAGATTTGTTATCGTCCTTCTTTGAGCATTGCATACTGGCGCTACAGAATCACAAACAAAGAACTGTACCAAATAGAGAACCATCCCTGCCCCCATTATAATGTCTGACGCTCAACTTCTCGAGAGTTCCTCTTTGCGACTACTCAGTCTCACATTAACTGCTGACCTGAGATGGAACAAATACATTGAGTCAATAGCTTCGTTCACCCCAAGGAAAGGTGGCTCCTTGTGCCGCGACAGGAATTTTTCTCGTCGGAGTCGATCCTGCACATCTATAAATCAACCATTCGCTCTTGCATGGAGTACTGCTGCCATATATGGTCCAGTGCCACTTCTAATTGTCTCAAGGTTCTTGATATGATCCAGAAACAGATATGCAAAGTAATTGGCCCTGATCTGGCATCTCATCTCCAGTCGCTCTCTCACAGACGTGTCGTCGCCTCTCTCTGTCTTTTTTACAAATATTTTCATGGTAACTGCTCCGATGAGCTGCTTTCGCTGGTTCCCAGACTTCATGAATTTAAGTGTTCTTCTAGGCTGGCATCTCGCTCACACCCGTTTACTGTCGAAACTGTTAAATGTAGCCGTCTCTTCTACTCCAATAGCTTCATGTCTCGCACCTCACGCCTGCGGAACTCCCTTCCCCTTTTTCTGTTCTCCTGATAGCTATAATCTCCAACTATTCAAATGTAATGTCAATCGACGTCTCTAGATGACTTGATCTTTCCCCTATCCTTCTCTTCATTCTTCCTCTATGATTCCTATTTGGTCTCACTCAAATTCTCTGTAACACCCTGCGTGCTAGTGGCTTCCCGCCTTGCTTGAGGTGAAACGCTTAAAAAAAATAACAGAAACCACATCACTTGAGGACTACCAACAGCAGCAACAACTAAAATGAATAGCACTGGAAGAGAAAATATTGATATAATGAAGATGTTGACATGCTACACTAAAAAGGAGACCCCCATCAATACTGAATTTGATCGAATGAATAAATGTAGGTTACTACATTCACCATAATACCTCATTGTCTCTATGAATATCCTAACAAGTCACCATATGTACAATTCATTGTCTGTGAGGGGGGGGGGATAAAGCAACAATTTTAAAAACTAGCTCATAAATGATTATTATTATGAGTATTTAAAATATGAAAATGTTAGTAATAAAAAAAAACCAAAAACCTTAAATGTGGCAAAACATCAGGACGAAATCAATGCAGAACTATAATAATATAAAAACATTCATTCATTCCAAGCACTCACACAAACACACACTCAGATAGACACAACAACAAAGACGAAAAACACACTCGAAACGAAAAGAGCTCCGCATTCACCAGCGAACTGACATCACTGAACACCTAACGTAGGAGGGGATGAGGAATTAAATCTCCAACTATTCAAATGTAATGTCAATCGACATCTCTAGATGACTTGATCTATCACCTATCCTTCTCTTCATTCTTCCTCTATCACTCCTATTTGCTCTCACTCAAATTCCCTGTAACACCCTGCGTGCTAGTGGCTTCCCGCCTTGCTTGAGGTGAAACGCTTAAAAAAAAATAACAGAAACCACATCACTTGAGGACTACCAAGAGCAGCAACAACTAAATTGAATAGCACTGGAAGAGAAAATATTGATATAATGAAGATGTTGACATGCTACACTAAAAAGGAGACTCCCATCAATACGACCCCCATCTATTTATACAGTGGATACATGTATTTACATGTTGGAAATGAATGTTCTGTGTATAAGAAAAATAGGGACAGAAATAAAAGGGGCCAATGAGCATACACAGCCTAGCTAAGTTAACTGATAAATCGGAGAGACGATTTCCAATTCTTGTTGGGTTCTTACGTGCAAATAACCTTGGGAGATTTATGGCTCCAGCTATGGGTTAATTAGTAAGACTCTTATCACTAAATCATTATTATCTCCCCGCAAAATTCTTGAAATCTAAAAATATTTTTTTTAAATTTTAAAATATTTATATTTCATGACCTACAAATGGTTGATAAACCGTAGAAAATGAATCAATCAACGATATATCAATCTATCTCTCTCTCTCTCTCTCTCTCTCTCTCTCTCTCTCTCTCTCTCTGTTCATATCTATCTATCTGTTCATATCTATCTATCTATCTGTTCATATCTATCAATCTATCTCCCTCTCTCTGTTCATATCTATCTATCTATCTCTCTCTCTGTTCATATCTATCTATCTATCTATCTGTTCATATCTATCTATCTATCTATCTCTCTCTCTCTGTTCATATCTATCTATCTATCTATCTCTCTGTTCATATCTATCTATCTATCTATCTCTCTCTGTTCATATCTATCTATCTATCTATCTATCTCTCTCTGTTCATATCTATCTATCTATCTATCTATCTCTCTCTGTTCATATCTATCTATCTATCTATCTATCTATCTATCTATCTCTGTTCATATCTATCTATCTATCTATCTCTCTCTGTTCATATCTATCTATCTATCTATCTATCTATCTCTCTCTCTTCATATCTATCTATCTATCTATCTCTCTGTTCATATCTATCTATCTATCTATCTATCTATCTCTGTTCATATCTATCTATCTATCTATCTATCTATCTCTCTCTGTTCATATCTATCTATCTATCTATCTCTCTGTTCATATCTATCTATCTATCTATCTATCTATCTATCTATCTCTGTTCATATCTATCTATCTATCTATCTATCTATCTATCTATCTATCTATCTATCTCTCTCTCTGTTCATATCTATCTATCTATCTATCTCTCTCTGTTCATATCTATCTATCTATCTATCTATCTCTCTCTGTTCATATCTATCTATCTATCTATCTATCTCTCTCTGTTCATATCTATCTATCTATCTATCTCTCTGTTCATATCTATCTATCTATCTATCTATCTATCTATCTCTGTTCATATCTATCTATCTATCTATCTATCTATCTATCTCTCTGTTCATATCTATCTATCTATCTATCTATCTATCTATCTATCTATGAGTTGTGTGTGCGTACGTGTCTGGATTCAGTCTTTTCATTCTCATTCTTAAACTCACTTTGTCTCTCCGCCTCTTCGGCATCTCTCTCTCTCTCTCTCTCTCTCTCTCTCTCTCTCTCTCTCTCTCTCTCTCTCTGTCTGTATGTGTGTGTGTGTGTTTATATCTATCTATCTATGAGGTGTGTGTGCGTAAGTGTCTGGATTCAGTCCCTTTCATTCTCATTCTTAAACTACCTCACTTTGTCTCTCCGCCTCTTCTCTCTCTCTCTCTCTCTCTCTCTCTCTCTCTCTCTCTTCATGTTTATATCTATCTATCTATCTATCTATCTATCTATCTATCCGTTTGTCTATCTATCACAGTCACTTCATGTCTATCTATGTATCTATCTACATATCTATTTATTTTTAGGAAATGGATTAAATCCGTTATATTGTTATTTTTAATTTCTTTTTTTTAAACGTTATTTTTTATGGATACTCATATTCAAATAGAAGTTTTGAATGAAACAGTCTTTTTTATTCAGCTGCATCTATCAACCTGAATATTCGAGAAATCTCGTCAGAAAAATATGCGTCCTCCGGCATCCAGCTATCTGTCGCCACCATGTTCCTATCTATATATCTATCTATCTTCAACTTCTCTCTCTCTCTCTCTCTATATATATATATATATATATATATATATATCAAGACATTCATTTCTGTAGTTCACTGCTACCAGCAAGCAGAATTTTTTTCTCCTGATGATGGTCATGTTGGCCGAAACTAGTCGAGGAATCTGAAATAATAATAAAAACGAAAGAATATTAATATACAACCCAGTGTATCTGAAGCTTTTAATTTGTTAATATTTGTTAATTAATTTGTTAATATTTTTTATTGTTCAAAACATATATATATATATATATATATATATATACTTCGTGGGAGGTAGTATACCAGGATTTTAGAAGGAAAAATAAAATTCGGGAGTCATGTTCACAAATTACAATACATAATTATAAACAACGCGAAGAAATGATCTTCACAGAAAAGAAAGAAAATCAATTTAATTTTGACAATAACATTTATACAGTTGATAAATGTATTTACATGTTGGAAATGAATGTTCTTTGTTGTCGGCATAAAAAGACCAATAGTTCGAATGTTCAAAGTGAATTGATGCAAGTGAGTCTGCAAAGTTCGAGATTTTATGTACGCCAATGTGTGTGTGTGTCTGTGTGTGTGCGCGTGAGTGAGTGAAGTACGCGCCAACGAAACATGTGTATGATTGCTGAGTTTTTTTGCGCGGGAATCTAATTCTTGGTTCAAGCCCTGACCTATTTCCAGGTCATTTGGATTTCAACCGCGCGGACGATGTAGAGAGAACATCACGTGACTTGCCATATCCAATCCGATTCCAGAAACCATTTATTTAATTTTCGAGCCGTCTTTACATAGAAATATACAATCATTTTTCGCTTCGACTGAATTTAATGAGATTTATTTCAAGGTGTATCTTGTTTGCGCTTGACATATTGACCGTAAAATATAGAAGTTTATATGCTATAATCTAATTAAATATAAATATATAAATATAAGAGTTTATATGCTATAATCTAAATAAATATAAATACCTAAATATAAGAGTTTATATGCTATAATCTAAATAAATATAAATATCTAAATATTAGAATTTATATACTATAATCTAATTAAATATAAATATCTAAATATAAGAGTTTATATGCTATAATCTAAATAAATATAAATATCTAAATACTAGAGTTTATATACTATAATCTAAATAAATATAAATATCTAAATATAAGAGTTTATATGGTATAATCTAAATAAATATAAATATCTAAATATAAGAATTTATATGCTATAATCTAATTAAATATAAATATATGAATATAAGAGTTTATATACTATAATCTAAATGATCTGATTTAAATTATCTGATTTAATTAATCAATATATTTGTTTTTATTTTTGTTAAAAATTGGTAACGTTTTTCACTAAGTCTGTGCAAAGATGCATTTCATTTTTTTTTACAGTTTGCTTAATTTATATATGACAAGAAAAACGTTCTACCCAAATTTATGGGTTGCCGTATAATGATTTCCATGCCTTTATGACGAATTAATTGTATTGACCCTTTTATTTTATTTTTTTTTTTTTTGTCTGCAGGACTTCATCTACGACTTCCAGTAGAGAATAACCGATCCTACCTTCTCATTAATATAACAAAGATGGTTCAAAGAAGCATCGCTCAAAGACAAACTATTCTAAACTTCTCGATCCAGACGTCCAGTCACGGAAACGCGTCCGTCCAACAACCATGTCAGTTCAGCGGAAGCTCGATAGAAAAACGCCCTCTCTTAGTCGTCTATGAAAATATTCTCCCTTTCCCTGAAAGCGGGGACAAGAAATTCCGACGAAAGCGTGATGCCTCGACGGAACAGAATACCACAACCGGCCAGGAGGACGCAGACGCCAGCACCCGACCGTCGATTGAGATTAAAACGGTAGTCAACTGGACAGACTGGGATGGAAATTATACTAACTCCTCTGATCCCATTTTACCAGCTCTATCCGATCTCTCTTTACCGACGGTCTCCTATGATACTAACGCTACCAATACCTCTTCCAGTTCCACATCATACCCTATAACCTGTCACCTTCGCCAGTGGTACGTTAACTTTTCGGAAATGAACTGGCACCATGTGATCCTTCAACCGCCAGGATATTATGCTAATTACTGCTGGGGGCTTTGTCCGGCATTTCTGGAGAACGTTAATGCCACTAATCACGCATATCTACGCAGTAAATTCATGCTCTTTCACCGGCTCGACCCGGACATACCCAAGCCGTTCTGTACACCCATTAGAATGACGCCGGTAACTCTTCTATATCTTAACAAATATGGTGTGATTATCGCAAAGAAATTTCACGAAATGGTGGCCGCTGAGTGTTCCTGCATGTAAACACAGAAACAGCACGAGTTTTATTTTATAAATCCTGTCTTCAGAGTCTGTCTATATTTCTGAGATGAGATATTATGTACATTATTTACATTATTCGGACTATTGTCCTCATCTTTGTCGCCATATTTATCACAACGTTTCGGCCGTTGTACGCTCCGGCCTTCTTCAGGTGGTTGGAATTTTGAACTGAACCCTATATATGAACTCTGGTAAAAACATGCAATGATAACAGCAAAATTGCAATATGAGCACTGGTAAAGATGGTTGCTGAAGACATTAGGTTTATAATACCCAGAAATTCATACCCAGATGTCCTCAAGGACACATGGCACAGTGGATAAAGGCGTTGGTTAGATCCAGTGACTAGACCCAAAGAGTGTGAGTTCAATCCCCCGGTTAAGTCAGTGGAGAGCATTTAGAGGGAAATTAGCAGGAGATAACTGACATCTATCAAACATGGCACGTGGAACTAGAACAGTCTACCCCAGTGAGCGAAATAAAGAGTAAAAGAAATCACTTAGCTCCACAAGAAAGGAAGTTTTACTCTTTATTTCAGTTCGAAATTCCAACCACCTGAAGAAGGCCGAAACGTTGTGATAAATATGGCGACAAAGATGAGGACAATAGTCCGAATAATATAAATAAAATCCTGTCTTATTTACATTTTCATGTGACATATCCCTTCATGATCATGAATCTCTACAAGGTTGTATCTTTTGTACAGTATTTTCCAGTGTCAAGGACGCTCCTACAGTAAGGACATTCCCTGGTGCAAATTTTTGTGAAAAATGAATAAACATGAAAATAAGGGTTCAGCACTTTCCCTTACCTTACCGACGTGTTTTTCTTGTGATTTAGAAATATGTTAATCATCTTGACCCCTTGTGAACCGTATTTTATTATTTTACCCTGACACGTAAGATTACTCTATTAGACGTATAAAATACTTAGTGGGATATGTAACTACGGTAGAGCTGCATTAAACACAATGATATCCAGGTCCACAATTCATTGCTCCCTACATATCCCCCCAAAAAGGTACCTCTTACTCTGTAACCCTCTACCTCTATTTTTACTGCCATCTATCCACGACTTCCTTTTCTTGTGGAGCTAAGTGATTTCTTTTACTCTTTCCATCACTTTTTGTACTCGTCCTACCATCCAGTCACACAAACTAATTAAGTAGATTACTCCCTGTTCACCCTGCTTCTCCCACGTTCAATATGACCTCTGAGTGTAAGATTCTCCAAGCCATCTTTCCTCTGTATATTAATCTTCCTTGGCTCTATGATGATGCATTATTGTTAATCTTAAAATCTTAATCTTTGATTGAAGAATAAAAAAATGATTTGAGCGATACAATAAAAAACAAAAAAAGATTAAAATATGTCAAATTGTACTAGTTTTTCTTTTTTTGCGAGGTGGGGGGGTTGTTTATACCTTATAGTAGTAGACCGAATAGTGATATATATATATATATATATATATATATATATATATATATATATATATATATATATATATATATTCAAATATGTGGGGCAATTCAATTAATATTACAATGAATCATTCATACAAAAGTAGATTAGTAAGGTTAATGATATAAAACGGCGAAAACTGCATTAACCACGAACCACTCGATGAATGTTATGATCCTTGTTTTTAATAACTACAAGTTGTATAAGGTCTTTTTTTTAATCTGCTAGTACTTTCAACTGTACATACAGTCATCCTCAGGCATGGAAATTATAAACAAGGATCATAACATTCATCGAGTGGTTCGTAGGTTAATGCAACTTTAAAATTTTGTTTGCAAAGAGTTTGCGCCATTTTATATCATTAACTTTACTAATCTACTTTTTTATGAATGATTCATTATATATATATATACATATACATATATATATATATATATATATATATATATATATATAGTCTTAAGGTGTGCTATATTTATGGGATAAAGTGTGTAAATACAAAAATGAACATAGAAGTCAACACTCAGTGGCGACAGTCTGTTTCATGCTAGACGCAATCGTGGCCAGAAGATTGCGTCTGGCATGAAAAATAAATATCGCTTCTCTATATTTCTATATTCATATATATATATATATATATATATATATATATATATATATATATATATTGCTGTACCTGGTTCCCCAAGCTACTACATGAAATGGTATCAATTAAATACAGCGGCAGGAATGGCGTCACAGGAACGCATGTCGCACGTTGGCTCAACGTCCCTCCGAGGCGTGGGGAAGGTTAGCCGGTCGCTAATCTTGGTGTGGGAGGCCTATTGACGCTACAGATTTCTTGCGACCCTCACTTGAATTCGCGCCGTGTTGGATTTATATCCCAAACCCAGACAAGGCGATCCATCACTGCCAGAATACCAAGAGGCACTCCGGACAATTTCGGACTATTCAGGCCCTGACCTTCGTAACAATATATACAGATATATATATATATATATATATATATATATATATATATATATATATATATATATATATATATAAAATCAACCACAGAAACTTGTCAGCCGTTTTCAACGAAAAACATGCACGCGCGCACACACACACGCATATATATATATAAACAACACTCAAAAAAAAAAAAATATATATATATATATATATCATGTTCATACGTATCATTCATACAAAAAACAGATTAGTGAAGTTAATCATATAAATGGCGAGAATACATCTTCGCAAACAAATTTATTAAAATTACATTAACCCACGAACCTCTAGATGAATGTTTTGATTCCTGTTTTTAATAAATTCAACTTGTATAAGGCCTTTTTTTGCAAGTACTTTCATCTGTTCATACAGACATCATCAGCCATGGAAATTGATTTTTTTTTCAAGTACATCCAGGTAATAACGGGACACGAAAGATAAGATGTGAATCGAAATATGTTTTTTAGAAATGTGCTATTGTTAACTGAAAGAAATTCTGGAGTGGGCGGTCGCAACGCTAAGGTTGAATTTTTTGAAAATTTAAAAGAGACTGCGTTTTTTTTTTACTAATATGGTAACTGGAGAATTCTTTTGTTCTAATAGTTTGTTTTTTTTCAGTCGATGTGGTATGAACTAAATTGTTCAATAAATAGAGCAATGTCGCAGCTATTATCCCAGAAATTGCACGGCGGATCAGTTCTTTTTAAATCAAATATGTGGGGCAGTTCAATTTATATTACATGAATCATTCATACAAAAAAACAGATTAGTGAAATTAATGATATATATACTATCCGGTCGCTCACAAGTGCAGTAGCTTTGCTCCTACAACTGCATTCGCTGCGCTCATGCAACCGTACACTCCTAAGTTCATGTACACTGGTCGCCGTTTCTCGACTTTTCTCGTCCACTATAGCATCCTTCTTATTAAGTACCCAATCACAAATTCGCTGTGATCCGTCCAAGGGTAGTGGAAAAAATATGTAGAAAGGTGGGAAAAAACACAACAAATATGAAGAATACATAAACACATACCAATCAACAAAGCAAACACGAAAGAGCGATGAAACTATAAACCCTACGATGGTCACTGATTATTTCAAAATCCTTTTTATTTATATCATGAATCAATCGTATATATAAAGTATAGTGTATGTATATATGTGTGCGTGTGTGTGTCCAATCAACTCCTCAGATCCCACTGGTCCGATTCCAATGATTCATGGCTCATTCAAAAGCCCTAGAAATGTTAGGCACAGGGAAGGATTTTCGTTGGGTTCAGATTCAGTGTTGCCAGATTATGCGAGGTTAAAAATATACATATTAATATGTTATGTGAAAAGTGTGTGCATATATATATATAATTATTTATATATTATATGCGCGGTACTTTTCAAGCGCTCAATATCAGAGATAGAGCTAACATATTTGGTTGGATTCACGCTGACGATCGCAAAAGCGTGAAACCCAGGGTCACAAACTCACATCAATCCAACCAAATATTAATATATTATATTCCACAATATAGTTTTTACTTAATTAGTTATTATGTTTCTCTAACTCTTCAAATGTTGAATATATAACTAATTCTAATTTCTATTTTCCCATCTTTACACTATATAAATTTTATCTTTGAAATGTCCCTCTCTTCTGCAATGAAATAAAAGTAATTTTTTGTACGGAAAATAAGGATCTACGTACATCACATCGTCTTTGAATTAAGTGGCAACAGAAGAATTATCATTGAACTTTTAAAAGGTAATCTTAAGCATTAATTCAATACTTAAATGCAGCAATCAATTTTGAGTTCTTATGTAGTTTATTGATGCCTATCGCATCTAATTCTCCCTAGCTACTGTGATGGTGGCCAAACCAAGAATGCTCCACAGAAGATAGCTTAAATGCCGCCCGATATGACGGCTTTTAAGCTAGTTTATAATATAACATGCACTGCATTTTTGGATATAAAAGGAAAATAAGAGTTACTCGATTTGAACGATAAAAGCAACGATAATGGCTAGTATAATATATTACTATGTATTTTTAATCTCGTATAATCTGGCAACCCTGAATCTGAGTTCAACGAAAATCGTTCCATGTGCCGAATTTTTTTAGGGATTTGTAGGAGCAATGAATCTTTGAAATCGGACCAGGGGGAAAGGAGGAGTTGCTTGGACACGCACAAACACACACATACACTCTATTTTAAATATATATTCTGTTTATACGTTATTTTTAACAGATGCAATTTATTTAAGTAAATCTCCGTTTTTGGATTTGTTTTTTTTTAAATAAACACTTACACTTATTGGCTTGAATGTTGGAGAAATTCCGTATAAATTATGTGCTTCTCCAACAGGAATCGAACCTGCAACCCCAAAGGAAACCATTATTTATTCTGATGTACTGTTAACTATTCAGCCGCAAAGATGGTTCTGTTTAGCAAAGTTCTAATTATGTTTATAAACAACAAATCTTCGACGATCTTTCCCGAACGATCATATCTGCTCACGAAACGTACCTTAACGTAAACATTGACAACATAGTCTGAAAGTTCCGATAATTATTTAATATATTTTCTGTTTATACGATATTTTAATTGATGCATTTTTTTTTAAGTAAATACCCTTTTTTAAAGCATTATTAATTACATTTACCGGCCTGACTTAATCCATTTCATAATATATATATATATATATATATATATATATATATATATATATATATATATATATATATATATACGTTAGAAGTCATTTTTTAGCTAAATGATGCTTTCGAGTTTAATTCATTGCTTTCATTTTTTTTTTTTATTATTGTGTAATTGTGTATCTGTTTGATGCCCTAAAAATATTTGATTGCACCCAATGTCTGTGCTTTTTATTATTCTGAATTTCAATGTTATTATAATTATCATATGTTATATTATTCTTCGGATATCGAAAAGTATTAAAAGGATGTAATTCAGAATTATTTTCTTTTTGAATATCCATACAAAAAAATAATCTAACAATTGTTAAAATGAAAAAAAACAAAAATTTAATTCTTTAAAAAGAAAAAAAAGTTCACACTCGAAAATAACATTAAACTTTACATTTTTTCGTTTCTTCTAAAGAAATATTCTTACGAACAGCAACTGAATGATTTTTAAAACCGTACTGAAAAATTAATTTTTTTAAATAGATATTATGTATAGATTTTTTTCTGTTGAAATCGGAAGAAAATAAAATGTTTTATTAAATTGTGAAAACACTGACTGTTAGAAAAATTATTTTTTGAGTTTTATTGAATTATTTTTGGTAAGATTCGAGACAAATTTTCCCATCTGTTCACACCTGATATTGCATATTTCTTTACTGAATTAACATCTTCAGGAACTTTTCTTTATTATAATTGTAAAAAATTAAATAAATAAACTACAAAATAAAAAAATACACGCAAGAAATCGGAAAGGTAGGGGTTGAAAAGGAACTGTAAAAGATATTTCTTCAAGTTTTTCTTTCAAAATAACATATTCAGTCTACAATTCGTTCGTTAATGAATAGGCAAGGAAAATTTCGTCTGAATTTGATAAATCCTTGATTTATAGCGAATATTTGAAAACAGTGAATAGCGATTTGTTGTTTTCATTTAATGAAGAACTCATCCATTTTGTTGGTATCTAGTTAGCGTTAAATATACGTGTGAATAAAAATTACGCAACGGGGTGGGGCAAAATGATCTGACAGATTTGTAAGTTTAATAAAAGTAAAATGGAGTAAAGAATTAAAAATGTATTTTTATTTTCGAAATCTACATATAATACCATTTTGTTTCATTTCTTTTTAAAACTTAAATCAGCGTGTTTCAGTCCAGAACGTCGTGGTCTAGAAATTTTGAAGAAAATAAATATTACCAGCAATACATTTTGAGAAAAAAATATTACCATCAATACATTTTTGAAGAAACAAAAATATTACCAGCAATACATTTTTGAAGAAACAAAAATATTACCGGCAATACATTTTTGCGGAAGGAGATATTACCAGCAATACACTTTTGAAGAAAAATATTACCAGCAATACATTTAAACTAGAGCTCTTACCGCTACCACATTTTTCTAAGTTCTGGTGGTCCGAGGTCGATTTTCGTTTCAATGCTGATCCACTAGTTCTAAAGTTGGTAACTCATAACAAAATCGTGTTTCAAGTAGGTACGTAAGTATGTCTGCAAAGCCTGTAGTGCACACGAAACGCACTTTATGTCGCAGTTATCGATTAGTTGTTCTTGGTAAACGTTTCGGCAATGCATTATGCTCGCCTATCCGATTCTTGTTGGCAACTGAAAATGAAATGAAACAAAATGGCATCATATGTAAATTTCGAAAATAATAAAAAAAAAACATTTTTCGTTCTTTACTACGTCCTGTGTAAGACGATAAACAACATTTGCGTCCTGGGTAAGACCATAAACTACATCCGCGTCCTGGGTAAGATGATAAACTACATCCGCGTCCTGGGTAAGACCATAAACTACATCCGCGTCCTGGATAAGATGATAAACTACATCCGCGTCCTGGGTATGATGATAAACTACATCCGCGTCCTGGGTAAGACCATAAACTACATCCGCGTCCTGGGTAAGACCATAAACTGCGCCCAACAAGGCCTCTGATCAGAAGGTTTTGGGGAGCGTTGAAACACCTTTTAATTGCTGGTGTTCCCAGGTTCACCTTGTCCCATGGTGGTAGCACCTGTTAGGGTCCCAAATATGGGCAAATAGTTAACCCCGAAACTAGGGTCAAAACACTATGAAAGTGTAAAAATAGGTTTTAATACCAGCAATAAATTTTTGAGGAAAAATTATTACCAGCAATACATTTTTGAAGAAAAAAAATTACCAGCAATACATTTTTGAGGAAAAAGATATTACTAGCCATACATTTTTGAAGAAAAAATATTACCAGTAATACTTTTTTGGAAAAAATATTACCAACATTAGATTTTTGGGAAAAATATTAGCAGCAATAAAAATTTTCTCGCCATTAAAAAAATCCATTGAGGTTGATATACCGTAAAACAAACCAAACCAAAACCATTCTTTACTCTAATTCGCTTTTATTAAACCTATAAATGTGTCTTAATCCTTTTGCCGTATTCTGTATAACTAATAATTTACTTTTCATGTTGCATCGGCGGTCAATATGGATATGGACATTTTTGGAAAATAGAAACAACAACAGCAACGGTTCATCTTAAAATTGTTTAAAGGTATTTTTACAGCTTGACGTCAATAGAAAATTTATTAAAAGACTTTTATTGCTGCATTTCAAAACCAATTTAAATTGGCTGGATGTTTTCGTTTTTAAATTACTAAAATAACCGATTTTAGCACCATTTTTAGCCATCTTTCATCACAATGTAGTTCTCGTTATTAAAAAATAAAATATACTTTTCTGAACCATTATTTGAGGAATATTAGCAAATTTAAAGTGTAATTAATCTAATTCGAAATAAATATTACTTACAGTACGTTTAAAATATCACAGAAATGCATTTTTAACAAGGTGGTAGCTGCTTATTTAAGGTTTTGACATGTTGACAGCTTAATTGATAGACGGAAGTTTATCGAATTTTTTTTTTTTTTTTTTTTTTTGCGGTGGACATATCTTCAAAACTTACTTGAGGAATACAACCTGAGTGCCATTTTTATATAAATTTTAACTACCCAGTAATGTTAAAAATTTAGAAATTTAATTCGTAATCTAATGTTTACTGAATTTTAGTTATTTTGTCTTTAAATTTACTATAGTTATTGTTCTTACTTTCTGATAATGTCGTGTATGGAGGCACCTATCTATAAAAATCAGCACGTTTATACACAGAAAAAAAATTCAAAATTCTTTTGAAAATATTGGAGTCGCTGAATTGTAGTAATCTTTTCCAGTTTTGATTAGTAAATAGCGTTTTAAATTAATAACAATAAAACCTAATCAGTACGAATTAATACAAAAATTTAAAAGATTTAAAACTTTTAAAATTAATCTAATTAATTTTTTTAAAAAAAGGAAACAATTCTTGTCAAAATTCATTATTCATCGAAAATGTTTTTTTTTCTTAAGACAACAGTGGCCATAATTTATCATTTTTTATCTGATGATTCGGAGTAGATTTTCGACAAAAAGAAATTGATTTAAATTCTCCAAGGTGTTCTCCTTTTCGCTAATATAAACAGTAAGAGGAACAAGATTTAATTTCTCAAAATTTCATAAAATTAAATAACAAATGTAAAAAAATATTTTACCAAGATTTCTAAACCAAAAATCATTTCTAAAATAATTTCATTCATTTATTAATATGTCTTGAAAGTTTCATTAAAACCCGACAATTATTTGGCTTTTACAATAATTTCCAAATCAATGTGTTTTTCCACGCAAAAAAGAGGCTAAAATTTCCTAGATTAATTTTTCCCTAACGAAAAAGAGCACGATTTTTAAACTAAATTTCGGACTTTCTAAAAAGGTACAAAAACATAATTTAATAACCAAAAAATTATCTGGTCGTTCTTTCCTTTTAATAACAAAGATTTTGACTTTGTTTTTATTCAGTTATGGTATGCTAATTTTTAGCGAATCAGTGGAAGTATGAATGAATATATATTTTAAAAGACTACAAAATTAAAATGTCGATATAATGGTCTGATTGTACAGGAAAAGATAACAGTTTGTTTAAATGAATCATGGAGGAAAATAAGGCGCCGCTTCGTCGCGCTTTGTATTGAAGAGTTATCGCCCTTTGACCCCAAATTAAATAGGAATTATTTGTTTTCTATAAATTAAAATATGAATTTTAACAATAAGAATAACAACTGGAGTTCTGACAAAATGGCTGAGATTTGGCAAGATGGATTGGAAAAAATAGAGAGTAAGTAAAAATAATGGAATAAAGAAACTGCTTTACACTGAAGGAGATTGTGAAAAGTGATTTTGCTTCAAGGAGAAACGACTTGAAATAATAGAGGCAATAAAATTAGGCAGTAAATAAGAAAGAAAAAGAGTCATGGGAAGTTAGAAAAAAGAGAAATTGAAGATTAGAAAGAAAGAAAGAAACAAACAAACAAAGAAATAGAAGATTAGAAAGAAAGAAATTGAAGGTTTCAAAGAAAGAAATTGAAGATTAGAAAGAAAGAAAGAAAGAAAGAAAGAAAGAAAGAAAGAAATTGAAGGTTTCAATGAAAGAAATTGAAGATTAGAAAGAAAGAAAGAAAGAAAGAAAGAAAGAAATTGAAGGTTTCAATGAAAGAAATTGAAGATTAGAAAGAAAGAAAGAAAGAAAGAAAGAAAGAAAGAAAGAAAGAACAAAATCATTAGTCATTGTTTTAATTATAATTGTGATTATTGTACTGTGGAATTTTTTAACGTTCTATTTGTTTCTGTCTATATCTCTGAGATTATGATTACTTGCAATTATTTAAACTGTTATCCTCATCTTCATTGCCATATTCACAACGTTTCAGCCGTTTCGACATTCTTCAGGAGATTGAAATTTCGAACCAAACCTTTTATTTCGTCCACCAAGTTAAATTGTTCTAGTTCCAAGTGCCATGAGTCTTCCGGATGTCCCAGTTATCTCCCTTTAACTCTCCAAGTTGCTTTATTTTGTGGTCTGGGATTGAACTTCTGTGGGTCTAATCACTGCATCTAACCAACGTCTTTATCCATTAAGCCATGAGTCTTTCATGAAATCTGCGTACGAATTTTTGGGAGTTATAAACCTAAAGTCTCCGCATCATTTTTTTTACCAGTGCTCATATTGCATTTTTTATTATTATTGTTTTATTTTTTTACCAGAGCTCATATTGCAATTTTTGTTGTTATTAATTTCTTTTCTCTAGCCCTCCTTATTACTGGTTGCCATATTGTGTTCATTTCTATGCTTGGCTTAGCATATGTGCTGATTCCTTAAGTTTTCGTATTTTCCAGTAATACCGTCTGGCAATTATTTCATCCTCATCTATTTTTTTTCTTTCCTTTTTCTGTATTATATACATATATATATATATATATATATATATATATTAAGATCATGACGTTTCAGTTTTTCTCACTACGGGTTTTTCTCAGAAATTTTAGTATTTCGAATTTGACATTCGACATTAGAAGGCGTCTGTTATAGGCAGTGCTATAAGCTTAGCAGGCTGAAGCCTAGGGTCCTCAAAATCTTGGGCGTCTCCAGTCAAAGCGTAAAAATAAATGACACTGTCATAAGTCTTTCTGGCACATACTGTCATAACGCATTTTAGATTCTAAATAACTCTTCAGTAATTTTAAACACCCGTCATCAACCTCGGCTTTACTCAAATTGTTTAATTATTTAACACTATTCCATTTTCCTCTACTTGTGAGCATCGGGGATTTAGAGGGTCATTAACAAGTAGAATAGCCTAAGACCTGTCCATCTAAATCCGGTCCTGAGTATAGGCAATGTTTCTAGTGTTACTTCTTGTTCACACGGAAAGAAACCAGGGCATCCTGGGTATGACGATAAACAACATCTGGCAAGGCCTCTGATCAGGAGATTGGAGGATTTGAGGAGCGTGGAACTACCTCTTAATTGCTGGTGTTCCCAGATAAGCCCTGACCCAGGGTGGTGCACCTGTTGTGGTCCCAGCTATGGTCAAATAGTTAACCCCTAAACTCGTGTCAAACACTATGAAAGTGTAAAAATGTTTTAATACCTGCAATACATTTTTGGGGAAAAAATTATTAGCAGCAATACATTTTAAAAAAAAAAAAACATATTATTAGCAACAAAAATCTTGTCGGCATTAAGTAACCCATTGAGGTTGATATGCCTTAAAACAAAACAAACCAAATCAATAATTACTGAGATAGATAGATAGATAGATAGATAGATAGATAGATAGATAGATAGATAGATAGAACCAACAATAAAAATCTTGTCAGCATTAAATAACCCATTGAGGTTGACATGCCGTAAAACAAAACAAGCCAAACCAATATATAATGAGATAGATAGATAGATAGATAGATAGATAGATAGATAGATAGATAGATAGAAAGGCGGACAGATAGAAAATATAAGCAGCAATAAAAATCTTGTCAGCATTAAATAACCCATTGAGTTTGATATGCCGTAAAACAAAACAAACCAAAGCAATATATACTGAAATAAATAGATAGATACTGTATAGACTCAGATAGATAGATAGATAGATAGATAGAAAATATAATCAGCAATAAAAGCCTTGTCGTCATTAAATAACCCATTGAGGTTGATATGCCGTAAAACAAACCAAATCAAACCAAAGGAAATCAGGCAAAAGAATATGAAATTTACACAACAAAAAAAAACAGCAGACAACAATTAGGGCTGAGAACACGAATTTACCTCCCTTAGATTTCGCATAGTATAAGGGAGATAACTGTGTATACTAATATTGCTAAATAATGTAATTTAATTACGATATATTGCAGATTTCCCACGCTTGGAAAATAACAAAATCTGTCTTGTCTGATCAAAGTTCAAACATCAGTTAGGATTGTGTTTGATTATGTTGTTTAATTATTACAGTTTATAGTATCCCTTGTTTGTACAGGTATGTTTTTTTTTTGCAAATTCTTAAAACGCTTTTAAATTCTTTTTTCATGGAGTTCGGTTGCAACAAATAATCCGAACAATTGTAAGAAGAATGAAGATTTTGAACAAGGTTCAAATTTAGAATTATGTCAGCTAATAAACTATTAACTGTTCAGGGATTAATAGATGCTGGGAAAATGGCCATTTGCCTGTAAGTGCTCCAGTAAGTACCTGACTCCTCTTGTTATCCTCTAAACTTTACAAGAGGCCGATCTGACCGGAAATGGAGTACTACTACCATATATGGACATGGGTTTCCCAGTTTTCAATTTCCAGTCTTCACAGAATCCAAAAGCGTCTCCACGTCCTTGTAGGTGATGAATTAATTTTCTCGCCTACGAAACGTAGGAATCCTTGCTGATGATTGTAAGCACTTCCGCTCCCACTAGGGAGCAATCCAGTGGCAGTTTAAATAAAAGTTTACCACGTCTCGTGTTGTCTTTGTGTTACACCGACATTTTCAGCCGCTTGTCTCATATAATTTATCTTTCCACCCTAAGCCCAGTGGAACAGCGTCCTTGTGGGTGACAAATTATTCCCCACTCTACAACCCCTTTCTCACATACAAAATGCCGCAAGACTTTCACCGTTCTATCGTTACTTCAATAAAAAGTGTTTAGATGAACTACATTCCTTAGTTTCACCAGATCTAACTCACGGCTAGGACCCTCCATGTCACGCCTCTTGTAGCGAACCGCCCTCAATCCCTCTGTGTTCCATTGGTGAGAAGTTCCACTTGGATAGAATCTTCCTGCGAACCACTGACTCTGTAGAACAGACTCCCAAGAGGATGTTTTCCGGATCACTACAATCTTTACCTGTTCAAGTCTAGGGTTAACCGTTATCTTCTCCACCTATCCGCATAAACTCTACCTGTAGCTCTGTATCCCTCTATCCCGAGTAGATGCCGGGCCTTGTACAGTAGTCCTGGGTATGGAGGATTTGGGGAGCTTGGAACCACATTTTAATTGCTGTCCACCCTGATCCGGGGTGACAGTAACTTTTGGGTGGGCAAATAGTGAACACCCAGAACAAAAATAAAACAATATGAAAATATAAAAATATATTTATAGTAAAAATGTTGATTATTATCATTATTATTATTATTATTATAAGCATTCCGGTCTCACTAGGAAATGTTGGGAGCAAAACGGATCCAGCGGGCAGTTTAAATAAAGTTGTTGAGATTACTACGTCTCGTGTCGTCTTTGTGTTGCTTCGACATTTTCAGCTTTTCCTATAATTTATCTTTCTACCCTAAGCCCAGTGGAATATAAAGTGTTTAGATGAACTGTGTGAGAAAACGGGGGGGGATCTTCTTGCGAAACAAAAACGAACGCCTTGTTGCGAACCTGAAATGACTGCCTTCTTGCGAAAATGAAACGAACACCTTGTTCCGAACCTGAAATAAACGCCGTGTTCCGAGCCTGAAACGACTGACTTCTTGCGAACCTGAAACGAACACCTTGTTGCGAACCTGAAACGAACGCCTTGTTGCGAACCTGAAACGACTGCCTTCTTGCGAAACTGAAACGAACACCTTGTTCCGAACCTGAAATGAACGCCGTGTTGTGAACCTGAAACGACTGCCTTCTTGCGAACCTGAAACGAACACCTTGTTTGCAAACCTGAAACGAACGCCTTGTTGCGAACTTGAAACGAACACCTTGTTGCGAATCTGAAACGAACACCTTGTTGCGAACCTGAAATGAACGCATCTTGCGAATTTGAAACGAACGCCTTCTTGCGAACCTGAAATGAACACATTGTTGCGAACTTGAAACGAACACCTTCTTGCGAACCTGAAATGAACGCCTTGTTGCGAACCTGAAACGACCGCTTTCTTGCGAACTGAAACGAACATCTTGTTGCGAACCTGAAACGAACACCTGGTTGCGAGCCTGAAATGAACGCCGTGTTGCGAACCTGAAACGACTGCCTTCTTGCGAACCTGAAACGAACACCTTGTTGCGAACCCCAAACGAACACCTTGTTGCGAACCTGAAATGAACACCTTGTTGCGAACCTGAAACGACCGCCTTCTTGCGAACCTGAAACGAACGCCTTCTTGCGAACCTGAAGCGAACAACTTGTTGCGAACCTGAAATGAACGCTTTCTTGCGAACCTGAAACGACTGCCTTCTCTTCCGAACGAACACTTTACGACAGCAAACGAGCAAAACGGCACCCACGACTGCTGCCGACCAACGGACGACCGACCGCAACGGCTTTTGTCGCCCCCAAAAAAAACTTGTAGTTCTCGGTCGAGTCCATTATGGTACTCCAAGGTGTGCCCGGCGAAAACACACACACGCAATTCGACGACGCTTCTCGATGCTCGTTACATGAACTATATTCCTTATTTCCACCAGTTTTAATGTTCACGGCTCAGACCCGTCATGCTACGACAATGGTAGCGAATCACCCTCATTCCCTTCATATTCCACTCGAGCATCTTCTTTCCACGGACTACTAACTTGTAGAACCGAATTCCTAGAAGATCCTCCTCCGATCACCACAATTTTAACCTATTGAAATCTAGGGTTAACCGTTATCTTCCCTACATATCCCTTTTATTCTGTAATACTCTACTTCGAGTGGTTCCCGAGCCTTGCTCAGAGGGATCATCAATGGAAAAAAAAAGTAAATGATTTTAATGCTAACACCTATTTTAATATAAAAAGTCGCTGATGACATCAATGTTTCAATGAAACGGATTTTTTAATACGTGAATGGCATTTTGAAAGTGAGTGCTTGATGTGGACCAAATTGCAGTTAACTTAGGAATGCTGCTTTTTTTATTTTATATTATTTCATTTATTTATTTATTTTAATTATAATTTTGTTATATTTTATATTATTTCATTACATTTATTTATAATTTTATTTTGTTTTATATTAGTTCATTTCATTTATTTATTTTATTTATAATTTTATTTCACTTTACTTCATTATCATTTATATATTATTTTATATTATTCTATATTATTTCATCTCATTATTTATAATTTTATTTCATTTCATTTCATTTATTTATAATTTTTTGTTTTATATTATTTCATTTAATTTATTTATTTTATTTGCTTATTTTTTTGTTTAATTCATTAATTCCCAACACCCCGTTTTGGGGACGGTGGACATTAATAGAGATACATTTATGACTAACACCGCATATTTGTAAACTTATCATTTATACCTGATATTTATAGAATTATATTCTATAATTAATACAAGATTTTTTTTTTTTTTAAATCTATAATTAATACCAAATTTTTATAGATTATAAGTAATACAGAACTTTTTAGAAACCTGTGATTAATATCAGATTTCTTTATGAATGTAAAATTAATAACAGATTTTATGAAAACCTATAAATAATATCGGATTTTAAGAGAAACCTATAATTAATGACAGATATTTACAAATTCAAAATTAATATTGGATTTTTAATCCTATAAATAATACTGGATATTTGGGATCCTATAATTAATATTGGATTTTTTAATCCTATAAATAATACTGGATGTTTGAGATCCTATAATTAATATTGGATTTTTTAATCCTATAAATAATACTGGATGTTGGAGACCCTATAATTAATACGGGATTTTTAGAAGCCACTAATTCCTACCATTCTTTTTTTTTTCTTTTTTTTTTTTTTCTTTTCAAAATTATAAATAATACCGTATTTTAGAATCTTATAATTAATCTCTAACGTTTGGCATCCCTTAATTAATACCGGATTTCTGGGGCCCCATAATTAATACCGGATTTGTGGGATCCCATATTTATAAGCAGGTTTTGGGGATTCTATAATTAATACCGAATTTGGGGCATCCAATAATTAATACCAGCTTTTTTAGAAACTTAAAATTAATACCGGATTTAAAAAAAAAATGTTGTGACCAAGTACAAGGTTAAAGAAATAACAAAACAAGTGTTACATATATATATATCATATATTAAACACTATGTAGAACAGACGAGTATTGCACGACTAGTGAGTGTGTGTCGGTTGACCCAGCGTTCAATCTATTCGACTGTTTCCCCAAGGCCTTCTCTCCTACTAATATTATAGTAGGCGGAAGAGTCTAACAGACTTTTTAGAGGGAGGACACCACAACAGATAGATAGATAGATAGATAGATAGATAGATAGATAGATAGGAAAAGGCTGCAAAATATAGATATGAAGTTAACGCCCAGCGGCGGCGATCTGTTTCATGCTTAAACGCAATCATGAGGCAAGTTATGACTTAACGTGAAGTCCGTTTTGTCGAATCCTTCGTGACCAAGATGTTGTGACCAAGTAAAGGGTTAAGAAAATTCAAAACGTGTGTTGCAGATATATCATATATTAAATAGTAAGTACAACAGAAGAGTATTAAACAACTATTGATTGTGTGTCGGTTGACCTAGCTTTCAATCTACTGGACTCTTCTCCCAAGGCCTTCTCTCCTACTAATCTTATAGTAGGCGGAAGAGTCCAACATAGACTCTTTAGAGGAAGGACACCACAACAAAAACACTAATTTATAATTTATACGGCTTCTTTATTAGAAAACTAGAAATAATACCAGACTTTTTAGAATCTTGTGTATGCCTCCGTTATAAAAAGTTGTTACTTAAGCTGCTGTTGCCTTTCTATCATGATGAACCAGTCTGGAAATTCTTCACTGAACTCTTTCATCAACAAGGGAGTTCCATGATTCGAATTGGCGATCATTTTTTGGTAACAAGGATGTGGCATTTTTTTTTTTTTTTTTTCATTTTTATTTATTTATTTTTATTTTTATTTTTTATTTTTTTGGCCATTCTCTGACAATTTAAAAGATGATTGTGCTGAGCTGTGGAGTAAATAAGACACTCACGATAACAAAAATGAACTTGGCATGGCACCTTAAATAAAGAACTCGAAGTGAGTCAAGAGGAGATCGTCGCAGTCTGTCTCAGGTTCACGAGAAAAGACAAGCCCTCTGTCTTCGGGAAGAGGTTGACAAGACCTCCATCTTCGTGCGGAGGATGACTCAGTCGGGCTCTGTCTTCAGATAGAGACTCAGCTGAGAAAAATAGATCAGTTCTGTACTCCAACCTGCTTTGGATGGGGGCTGGGTAAATTTTGAACACTGGCCCGATTGGAAACGCTCGGGTTCCACACAGTAAACTTGACCTTGTGTCGTATCTAATCCCCAGTGAGGCAACCTGTAAATACCAGTTCATCGTAGTCTGTCCCAGGCTAGCTATAAGACAAAAGGCATCTGTCTTCGGGCAGAGGGTGACCCAGTACCAGGGTAGTTACAAAACAAGACCTCCGTCATTGGGTCAAGGGTAACTCAGTTTTGGTTATGACTTCCGATAAAGATTCGGCTGAGAAAAAAGTTGTAGTCATGCAATTCGCTGTCTGGCTTACTACAGACAAGACTTCTGTATTCGGGCAGAGGTTGATTAAGTCGCGGCTCTATCATCGAATAGAGATTCGGCTGAGAAAAACAGACCAGTACTGTACCTGAGCCCGTTTTTGCGGGAGTTGGGTAAATTTTGACCAGTGATCCGGGTGGAAACGCTCTGATACCTCACAGTAGACTTGACCTTTTGCCGCATTTAGTTCGCACTGTAAATACCAGTCCGTCGTAATCTGTTGTAAGGTTCGCAACAGGACAAGACCTCAGTCATCGGGCAGAAGGTGACAAGTCCTCCATCTTCAGGTGGAGCGTAACCCAGTCGGAGTTCTGTCTTCGGATAGAGACTCGACTGAGTAATACAGACAATTTGGAATAACGAAGTTTGCTGTCTGACTTGCGACTGACAAGACTTCTGTCTTCGGATAGAGATTCGGCTCAGAAAAACAGACTAGTAATTTACCCATAGCTGGGTAAAATTTGACCTCTTTGCCGTAGCTGGGTAAAATTTGACCAGAGGCCCGGGTGGAAATGTCCCCACTCCCGTAGTGATTTTCCAAGCGTAGCTCAGATGTGGCACAAGGCCGAAAGTATGGGGTGCACCCAGTGAGGATCGAACTCACTACTCAGTCGTAACTGTTCTAGCGAGACAAGCTTGCTAACCATTACACCACGCCGAGGTGCCCCAGTGATTTTCTAAGCGTAGCTCAGATGTGGCACAAGGCCGAAAGTATAGAGCACCCTGTGAGGATCGAACTCACTACTCAGTCGTAATTGTTCTAGCGAGACAAGCTTGTTAACCATTACACCACGCCGAGGTGCCCCAGTGATTTTCCAAGCGTAGCTCAGATGTGGCACAAGGCCAAAAGTATGGAGCACCCTGTGAGGATCGAACTCACTGCTCAGTCGTAATTGTTCTAGCGAGACAAGCTTGTTAACCATTACACCAACTCAAGGTGCTCGCCGGGGTGGGGCAGGACGTCCGCTGTCTGGTTAGCGATTGTCAAGCTCTCTGTCTTTGGGAAGAGTTTGACTCAGTCGGCGTTCTGTCTACAGATGGAGACTCAGCTGAGAAAAATAAATGCAAAGTCCCCGACCCTTCAGTTGCGGGAGCTAGGTAAATTTTGACCATTGGCCTGAATGTACCCGCTCGGGTGCCCCACACTAAATTCGACCTTGTGCCACATCTCGTCTCCGTGGCGAGACTGGGTAAATACCAGTTCGTTGGTGTCAGTCTGGAAGAACTCTAATGACGTTAAGGAGAATTTATTTATTGAAAATTGAATTATTTTTTTAATGTATGCAAAATATAACTGATAATTCTACTTGCCCCTTAGTTCGCACCACCGTTACTCCTTGCCAATACCTCATAAATAAGGAACTATTGCGTTTTGATCGCGCGGTAAGACGGGAAAGAAATATCAGAGACGCTATTTGGTTTCAGTGAAAGAAAAAAAGAAAGAAAAAAATATCAATATCTCATAAATAATCGACTAGTCTGTATTGATCGCGTAGAAAAACAGAAAAGACATATCAGAGACACTACTTGGTTTTATTCAGAAAAAGAAAGAGAGAAAGTAGAACGGGAAGATAGAATGAAAGAAAGACTGAAAGATATAGAATGAAACTCCATCTCGCAGTCCTCAATATGGGAAAATCTAAGACCCACTGTTTCCCGTTCGTGGAATATGTCTTTGCCTGGGACATAGGTGAATCTGGCCCGTTTGAATCCGGAGACCAAAAATGGCTTCTCCAGGTCAGGAATATCTCCATATTATATTTAATACCCTTCTTTTTTGCTTCGCCTTGCACTCTGTTTTGATGTGTAGATATATGTGATATATTATTCTCCACGTGGGACATGTTTATATATGTATTAGTTTTGTGTATGTCTTAGTAATATAAAAGTCACTCTGAGAGCAAAGTATGGTTGTCGTTCATTTTCCGTTCAGCCATTTTCGTTCCATCCGTAATATATCGCTGCTATAATATAATGGAAATAATAATGCCCATAATGGGAGAAATGTAAATGGGAAAATAAATCTTTCTTCCAAGTGCTGCCATTACAAAGTGTTTAACGTCTGTTTCAGTGAAATGGAAAAATTTGTGAATTTCAAATCTTTTCATTTGTATCCGCTTACTTCTAAAATAACGACCAGCATTCATATTTATGATTCTTATTGAAATATTTTAGTAAAGATGTTAAGCTCAAATATTTAACGATGTGATAGGGGGATTTCTAAGGATATTTTATTGCAGAACTCGGCATGAGCTTAGACAATCATTGACTTAAGAATTATACGTATTATTATTATTATTATTATTATTATTATACGCATTATCCTATTATTATTATGATTGTCATTCCATTCGTTAGTTCACAAGACCGTTACGCCCTGTCAATACTTCATAAATGATATACTATTGCCTTTTGATCGCGTGGGGAAATGGGGAAAAGACGCTACTTGGTTTCAGTGAGAAAATGAAATAAATAAATAAATAAAGACAGAAAGATATATGGGAGTCGCCACTTGGTTTCAAGGATAAAATGGATATAAGTAAGGAAAATAAAAGTGTTTAACTGCTGTTGCAGTGAAATGGGAAAGTTGTCAATTTGAAATCTTTTCATTTGTATCCCCTTACTTCTTGAAATAACGGCCAGCATTCATATTTATGATTGTTATTGAAATATATTGTAAAAGTTGTTAAGCTCAAATATTTAATGATGTGATAAGGAAATTTTTTATGGATATTTCATTTTCGTAGAACTCGCCGTAAGCTTATTCAATCATTAACTGAAGAATTAAGATTCTTCAAAAATTTAAAATAGGAAATCTGTGAACTTTTCACGGTCTTTCTAGTAAATAAGACAAGTAGTTTTGGTTGTGCAGAAAAAACAATGTATGAATGAATGAAAGAAAAAAAAAAGAAGGAATGGTAGAATTGTTTAACCGCTGTTTCATTGAAATGGGAAAAGTTGTCAATTTCAGATCCTTTCATTTGTATCCCCTTACTTCTTAAAAATAACGACCGACATTCATAATTATGATTGTTATTGCAATATTATCTTAAAGTTGTTAAACTCAAATATTTAACGATGCGATAGGGGAATTTCTACGGATAATTTATTGTCGTTGAACTTGCCATGAGCTTATTTGATCATTAACTTAAAAGTTCCACCAGAAAATTTAAATAGGAAAACCGTGAAATTTTCACCGTCAATCTAGTTATTATTATTATTATTATTATTATTATACGCTTTACATATTATTATTGTACTTGTTACTCCCTTACTTAGTTCACACGACCGTTACTCCCTGCCAATACTTCATAAATAATGGACTATTGCGTTTTGATCACGTGGGATGACGCTACTTGGTTTCAGTGGGAAAATGAAATAAAGAAAGAAAGAAAGAAAGAAATAATATAAAAGTGTTTAACGTCCCTGCCAATAGCCCATGAATAATGGACCATTCCCTTATGATTGCGTGAAAAACAAAATACATATCGGAGATGCTACTTGGTTTCAGGGATAAAATGAAAGAAAGAAAAAAGAAAGAAAGAAAGAAAGGAATATAAGAGTTTAACTGCTGTTTTATGGAAATGGAAAAAGTTGCCAATTTCAAATCTTTTCATTTGTGCCCCCTTACTTTTTTAAAATAACAACCAGCATTCATATGTATGATTGTCATTGCAATATTTTAAGTTGTTAAACTCAAATATTTTACGATGCAATAGTGAAATTTCTACGGATATTTCATTGTTGTTGAACTTTCCACGAGCTTATTCAATCACAACTTAAAAGTTAAGTTTCATCAGAAAATTCAAATAGGAAAACCGTGAAATTTTCATGGGTCAATCTAATTATTATTATTATTATTATTATTATTATTATTATTGTGCATGTCACTCCCTTCGTTAGTTCACACGAACGTTACGCTCTGCCAATACTTCATAAATAATGCACTATTGCGTTTTGATCGCGTGGGGAGAGGGAGAAAGACACTACTTGGTTTCAGAGAAAGAAAGAAAGAAAGAAAAAAGAAAGAAAGAAAGAAAGAAAGAAAGAAAGAAAGTAAGAAAGAAAGAAAGAAGAAAGTAAGAAATAAGTGTTTAACGTCCTCTGCCAATACCCCATGAATAATGGACCATTCCTTTTTTATTGCATGGAAAAACAAAAGATATATCGGAGATGCCACTTGGTTTCAGGGATAAAATGAAAGAAAGAAAGAAAGAAAGAAAGAAAGGAATATAAAAGTGTTTAACGTCTGTTTCAGTGAAATGGAAAGAGTTGTCAATTTGAAATATTTTCATTTGTACCCCCTTACTTCTTAAAATAACGACCAGCATTCATATTTATGACTGTTATTGCAATATTTTGTTAAAGTTGTTAAGCTCAAATATTTAACGAATTTCTATGGATGTTTTATTGTAGAACTCGCCATGAGCTTATTCAATCGGTAACTGAAGAATTAAGATTCCTCAGAAATTTAAAATAGGAAAACTGTGAACTTTTCACGGGTCTTTCTAGTAATTAAGACAAGTAGAAAACTATGAGCATATTCAATCATTAACTTTCGAATTAAATTTTATCAGAAAATTCAAACTGACATTTTCACGTGTATTTCTCGTAACTGTGATTTCTGTAATGATCTACATCAGGCACTCAAAGAAGTAGCAAAAATCAGTTTGTACCGAGATAGAATTTAGATGACAAATAACTTGAATCGGGTAGACGGTGAACGCCCTAATGGAATAACTGCCATTCCATTCATTAAGAGAAAGTCACATATTTGGGAACAGATCTAGAAGGCTTTATTTTTCTTTTATTTTTATTTTTTATTTTTTATTTATTTATTTATTTATTTATTTTGTCCCCACAATTACAATCTGATTACGTCGACCACTTCGCCCGCTTTTGACGTCCGAAAGACTGGGAGTGGTTAAATATCGTTCCCCGTCTGACAGATAGGAGTTTGTGCCTGTCAGGGTCGAGACGTCCGCCAAAATTGACCCTAGAGTGTCAAACTTATTCGCCGAACAGGATCCATGACAGCTTGACTCCGTGTTGAACTGCATGAAACCCGGCCATCTCTTCTGTAGACATTCAGTGGTAGACATTCGCGTCACTACGCCTTGCTATTGTGACTGCTATGGCCTGTAATAGTTAATTCGATTATTGTCGCTAAAATTTACTTTACATATTTCATTACGAAAAATATGGTATACAATTCTATATGTCAAACTCGCGGTAAGTAATCGAATAAACAATAAAAAAAAGTAATGCGTTTCGTCCAACTAATAAATGTGTTATTAATAGGCTCAGTCATATAGATATCTATCTCTCTATATATATATATCTGTGTGTGTGTGTGTGTGTGTGTGTGTGTGTGTGTGTGTGTGTGTGTGTGTGTGTGTGTGTGTGTGTGTGAAATATATAAAATGAAAAGAACTCGTTAGGTAAATAATCCAAAGTTCTTTAGTATTTTTGTTATTATTTTTAAAAAACAGTGCTCGATACAGAAGTAGAGCCTAAATATAATTATTTATTTAAAAATCTGACTCGACCTCTTTGAATGTAACTGACATATTGATACAAAGTATTAACCCTTACGCCACATTTTTTTTTAATAATTGCTCTAGCCGTTACCATAGTAATTTTAATTTTAATAATGAATATGCTTATAAAACGCGTAAATTTCAAGAATTAGTTATTCAAAAAAAATTTCGCTTGATGATGGAACAGAGCTTGGTACTTTAATTCAATTTAATTCAAAGAATTATATTGAAGTTTTCGGCTGTTGTTTTGAAACATGAGAACTCTTATGTAGCGATGGAATCATATTTTTAACTAAATATTTATCCCCTGATTCCCCGCTGCTTGCTCAGCCGCCATCGCCCATAGGAACCACTTCCTTCACCTATTCTGTAGCGACATATCTGAGTGCAATATATGTCTCTTTGCCTCCGCCCGTAACGAGTGTAAGCGTGTCCTCAACGATGCTAAGTCACTATTTGCTGCTCGGATGAAGGAGTGTATTGCATCTCGCAAATTTGGCTCCAAAGATTATTGGCGTCTCTGCAAGAGCGTATTGAACAATTGCAAACCCTCTATACCTCCTTTGTCCAACCAGTTCGAAGTCCTGACCTCCTCTGCCGACAAGGCTGAATGCTTTGCTCGGAAATTTCCATTCAACTCAACGCTCGACTCTTCTGGTGTACCCATACCCGACTTCCCTCCTAGAACTGATGCCCTATTGAGTGGGTTACACATAACCCCGTCTTTGGTATTGGGCGTTATCTCCAATTTAGACCCCAACAAGGCGAGTGGTGGAGATGGGATACCAGCCATTGTCTTGAAGAAATGCGCGCCTGAACTGGCGCCCGCCCTCTCTAAAATATATAACTACTGCCTCAAGGAATCTTGTTTTCCTGACTGCTGGAAGTCCTCTTCGATTGTTCCTGTCTTCAAGAACTCTGGCGACCCCTCTGACCCTTCTAACTACCGTCCTATCAGTCTCCTACCCCTCTTCGGCAAAGTCTTCGAAGCCCTAATCAATACCGAAGTGGTTAACCAACTTACATCCCATGATCTGCTCTCAGACAAGCAATAAGGTTTCCGCTTTGCCCGATCTACAGCTGATGTGCTTATGGTCATCACTGAAACTGTCTACCAAGCTCTTCAAAATAACGGGGAAGCTCGTGCCGTGGCCCTTGACATCTCCAAAGCGTTTGATAGGGTTTGGCATGCCAGCCTTCTTCGCAAGCTCCAGGGTTATGGCATTACAAGTCGATTGTTTGACCTAATACAATCATTCCTGTCAAACCGTGAATTGAAGGTCGTTCTCAACGGATTCTCCTCCAGTTCCTATCCCACGAACGCAGGTGTTCCTCAAGGCTTCATCCTAGACCCCACTCTATTCCTTATCTACATAAATGACCTTCCTGACGCCATAAATTCCCAAGTTGGCATCTGCTCGGATGATACCACAATTTACTCCTGCCTCAAAAACAAATCTAGTGTCACTGACAAAACTAACCTGGCCGTGCGTCTCAAATAGAACCTCCAATCGGTTGTGAACTGGGGCAGGAATTGGCTGGTCAACTTTAATGCTTCAAAAACAAAACTGCTCTTTTAATCACCACAGAGATCCTTCCCTGCCCTCCATTAGAATGTCTGACGCACAACTTCTCGAGAGCACCTCTCTGCGGCTGCTCGGTCTTACGTTGACTGCTGACCTGAGATGGAACAAATACATTGAGTCAATTGCTTCGCCTTGATCTATCCACTATCCTTCTCCTCATCTTTTCCTCTCTCACTCCTAACTGATCTTGCTTCAAATTTTCTGAAACCCCTTGCGTCCTAGTGGCTTCTCGCCTTGCTTGGGGTGAAACGCTTAAAAAAAAAATATATATATATATATATATATATATATATATATATATATATATATATAATATAATGAGTAAAAGGCGATACCTAAAAATCTATTTGGTTATAATTTATTTCATGAATATACCAAATATTCATCTCTTCAGATCGAAGTTTTTATTTTAAAGAATTCTGTATGAAGAGATGAATATTTGAATTATTCATGAAATAAATACTAACCGAATGGACATTTTGTTGTTAGTTAATTAACAACACTATAAAATATTCACAAAACTGCATTGCGATCAACAATTATTTCCACTCAATAGCCTCTAGAATAATTTAAAACGTAACAATCACTGCACACCCAATAACTGTTTAAATAATACAATAGACATACCTATAATGCAACACTAGCTACCATAGGTAAATAGTTCAGCTCAAACTCAGTGCACATGCCCTGACGATTGCGTTTAAGAATACAATAATATAAAATTATATACAAAATGCAAGTTTTACAAAACTATATTACTCGCACCCCTGAAGATGATCTTGGAAAAAGATCGAAAGTGCTTGGGAAATGAAAATAAAAAAAATTTAAACAGTTATAGCACATTTCTCTCATCCTTTAACATCAATACACATAAGGTTATTCGTGAGTATGAACGGATATTGTTAAAAATTAGCAGATATAATGTTTGTAATTTATTCAATCATATATATATATATATATATATATATATATATATATATATATATATATATAATAACCCGGATATAAGAGACCCGATATAAGAGAAACCCGGATATAAGAGAGATTTTCTCTGGTCCCAAATTAGAGCCTGTGTTAATGTAAACAAAATAGACCAGACCCGGATATAAGAGAAACCCGGATATAAGAGAAACCCGGATATAAGAGACTTCTTCTCTGGTCCCGACAACTCTCTTACATCCGGGTTACACTGTATAATTGTTTTATTAATAGGTTCATTCATATATATATATTTATATATATATATATATATATATACATACATATATATATATATATATATATATATATATATATATACACACATATATATATACATATATATATGTACATATATATATATATATACATATATACATATATATTAACATATATAAATATATACATATACATATATATATACATATATATATATATATATATATATATATATATATATATATATATATATATATATATATATATATATATATATATATATATATATATATATATATATATATATATATATATATATATATATACATATATATATATATATACATATACATATATATATATATATATATATATATATATATATATATATATATATATATATATATATATTTAGATATATTAATTTTATAATTATTCCATCCCAAGCAAGGTAATGATGCCACTGGGATGCAAAGGGTGAAAGAAGCACGGGTAGACAATAAAAGAACAGGTTTCGAGAAGATAGAAGATGACGAGTGATATTGCGTTTAAATTTTTGAAGATCGTAGTTGACAGGAAAGCGGGGAGAGAATTCCACATGCGAGAAGTGTGAGAGAGAAAAAATAATTAGCATAGAACTCATGTGGTTGCAACTTGCAATTTCAACAGTGAAATTATGATACTTATCTGGCAATGGATAGGAGACTTGAAGCAACATGAATGTGGTTCTACAGAAGGATGCTGAGGATACAATGGCCTGAACAAGTGTGAAACAATGAAATCTTGGAGGAATTCGAAACTAAAACAGGAAGAGGGAGTTGAGGTTTCTGGGGGCACATAATGAGGAAAGAGGGATTGGAAGATCCGATACTCACTAGACTGATAGAGGGCAAAAAGGACAGAAGAAAACAACGCATAACATTCTTAGTAAGCTTGAGCAAACAGATGGCAGATAGAGGGAATAAAGACAATTTATTAAGAGCTACAGGGACAGGATGTTGTAGAGAGCCATGATCGCCCACGTCTTGAGGAGGCACGGTACATAAAGAAGAATCTGCCAGTCTAGTATTGCGCTTAAAATCCAACGGGAATAGCAATATTTATTTTTAGAAATACAAAAGTGTGGCACAAGGCCAAACGTGGGAATAGGGAAAGGACGGTCTTCAAACTGTCTCATCTTAAAACTTAGCTAACCACAATTACTGTCCCAAATATACCACAGCATTCCTTACATCATTCTTACTACAGGCGCCATAATACCACATAGTCTCAATTATGATTTTTAAGCGTAGCTTAGACGTAGCACAAGGCCAAAAAGAATGGAGCAACGAGGAGGATTGACTCGTCACTCAGCAGTAATAGTTCTACGGTGACATATTTGCACCACGTTGAGATGCATCTAAAAGCCTCTATGAAGTCCTATTTCCCATATCTACAATTTGTCTTGGGACGGGGAGGGGAATAAAAATAACATTTTTTTAAAACTGAAACCGCAATGAGGAGAGTAATATTTATTTTGAAAGATACAAAAGTGTGGCACAAGGCCAAAAGAGACATAGGCTGGTCTTCAATCTGTCTTATCTTAGACTTAGCTAGCACAATTACTGACCCAAACATATCACAGCATTCCTTAAACCAAAATAATACATTTTTACTTACCATTCTTACTACAGTCACCATAATACCTCAGGTCTCTATGAAGGCCTAACTAATTCCCATATGTATAATTTATATAGGTGGAAGAATAAAATAATATTTAAAAATTAAACCCCAAAGAGGAGAGCTCATCAAAATAATTACCGGGAAATTATTTAGAGATGATTGCAGTGTTCAGCAAGTGGTTAAAGTTGAGATGCCATGTCGGGACTGATAATATTGCGGATGGGATTTATTCAATTTACAAAATAGGCGTGTTGGTTGAAATAAACAGTGAATCAAAGGAATTAATTTGTTTTTAATCAATTCCCCCCAAGAATAAAAGAGATGGCAACTTTACTAGAACCAAGATTTCAACATGAAATGTCTGTAAGACTATCATACAAATCGCAACTTCCAAACTTCCAGCACATGGTATTCCCAAGCAGTCACCCAACTTGCTACTGACCAGGCACGATGCTGCTTAACTTCGGTGATCATACTGGTGATTTAACGTGATATGGCTGTATAGATTTTCCAAGCGTAGCTTAGATGTGGCATAAGGCCGAAAGTATGGGGCACCCAGTGAGGATCGAACTCACTTTTCAGTAGTAACTGATCAAGCAAGACAAGATTGCTAACCATTACACCACGCTGAGGTGCCCTTAACGTGATATGGCTGTAAGTCCATTATACGGAAAACATAGCAGAGATGAGAAAATATACTACACTTTGATTCGATAATTTCTCACCAACCCTCTTCATCCACTGACAAGTTCCGGGATTTGAATCGAGGTTGTTTTTGAAATGGGGTGCTTATATCCGGCGATATATAGTGATTTTCTAAGCGTAGCTTGGATATGGTACACGGTCGACCGTACGGGGCACCCAGACTCACTCTAAGGTTGTAATTATTCTCGTGAGACAAGCTTGGTAATCATTACGCCACAGCGAGATACCAGTATACGGAGATATATGCTCGAGTCAAAAGTGGCCGTATTCACCACAACGGCCATCACGATAGCTTTGGCATGCGCCAACCCTCTCTCTTTGGAGGTAGTTGCTACACCCGGCTTGGAATCCCTGACACTGCGCATCTCTTAAAACCATCCCGTCACATGTGTTACGGTTTTTTGGGTATATATTACGTATAACTAGTGAGCGAGTCAGAATGACTTATTTCCCTTTATAGTCGACCAATAGAAGGTTGACCAATCCGAAGCCGCCCAACACTGTATTCGTCGTGTATAAAGGCGGCCGTCTTGTTTCGTCTACCAGAAGGACTAAAGGCGACCAGGAGAAGGATGAACTACACTCTCCTGTGATATCCACTGCGAACCTAAAGTACGCTTTCCTACTGTCTCCGAAATATCCACTGCCAACCTCTAGATTCTATACTCGAGGACGACCGTCATGAAATTGTCTATCAACATGTCCAATGAGAGAAAGACAACAGAGATAAGATTCCCCAGTAGGGTTTGAGCTTATATCAATGTCCAACTACTCCGACTCGTGGTGGAGAAGTCGGCATTTATCCGCGATTCCACATCGTAAGAGTATGTGATCAGTGGCGATTCTACGGGGGGAGGGGGAAGAAGAGAGCCAATACCCCCCGCTGAATTTTGGCTGGCCCCTTGGTTCCCCCCTCCTTTTTTAAAGTTTTCTAGAGGAAAAAAATCAGAGCAGCCAAATTACACTGTTCTGCTAGTATTGACGTTAGTATTAACCCTTTGAATTTGTTTTGAAGTTAACCCCTCTCTTGTGGTCCAACAGCTTGAGAGTGGTAAAGAGGGCAAGAATAGATTAGAAACTGCACTACTATGAATGAAACGTTATTCCGTATTAATTTAGTGAATTAACATACTTATACTAAAGCTCATTACTAAGTTGTGTATACGATAGTGGTGTAGTATGAAAATAAAGACGCTGCTTGAATTTGCCCTCTCCTCCGAATAAAAATCTCGACCCCCAAGTGTCAGCCTCCGCCTCACTTTCAGTGTTCCAGAATCGCTACTGTATGTGATACAATGTCGGAGTTTAATGTAGGATTTCGAAAAAACCGTTCAAAAATTGTTCAAGTCCTCTCGGCACGTTTTCCTTTCCCTCAAGCACAGGATAATGACCCTAGACCCGTCCATGGAATGGGGATCCACCTGGGTCTTGAGCTGGTATTAATTTCGCACTAACCCGGGATGTATATTAGCGATTTATTAAGCGTTACTTAGATCTGGCACAAGGCCGAATGTATAGAGCAACGAGTGAAGTCCGGTTAGGTTTTTACTTTGTCATAAATATACAACGAGTCGTGTCCCGATGCGAATAGAGTGCGAACTTTGACCTTCTGTCCGTGCTTTCTTTCTTTGTTTTTGCTTTTTTTTTTTTTTTTTTTATTTCGCACCTGTAGATAATAAAAAAAATTTCCCGCCAGAAGACGACAACAAGCAAAAGAAAAAGCAGGCTCGTTAGTGCGATTGTTGACAACGGACGCGTTCTTTCACACGGCTCGTTTCGTCTGGCAGATTCAAAAGAAAGAAAAAGAGAAAAAGAAAAAAGAAAAAGAAACAAAAGGGAAGAGATAAAATAGACAACATTGAAATACCGACACTTATGAAGGGGAATGAAAAGCAAAAAAACAAACAAAAACAAAGTAATTGTGGGAAGGGGAAAAGAAATCATAGTAAAGGGAGAAGGAGAGAAAGAATGCGTGTGAGAGAGAGAAAGAATGAGTGCATGACAGAGAGAGAGAGAGTTAGTTAGAGAAACACCTGTGCGTCGTTTATTGTTTAAACGGTAAGGAAAAAATACGAGAAAGGATTTCGAGAGACGGACAACTATAAAAGAGGCACAATAGATGAGTAATCTGCAGCTGCAGAAATAAGATGGGAAAAAGAAAAACACGAAAGTACGAAAATAAATTAAAACTCTCTCCCCTCTATGCAAACTATCTCTCTCTCTCTCTCACACACACACACACACACACAAAACACAGACACACACAAATAACAGAGGTAGACCTCTTTACTGAGCAGGTTTACACTGACGCAAGGTGTGGGACGTACTCAGAATCAAACACGTTACTATGTCGCCCAAAATTACATTAACGCTCTTATTCTTCATATTTTAATCTTTCTCAATATATATATATATATATATATATATATATATATATATATATATATATATATGTGGCAAAATATAGTTTTTTGTGCTATATTTATGGGATAATGTGGTCAATATCACAGATAGAGCGTATGTAAATATGTAAGTGAACATTGAAGTCAACACTCAGAGGTGATAGGCTGTTTCATGCTAAACGCAATCGTCAGGCAGCCTTAGGATTGCGTCAAGCATGAAACAGCTTGTCGCCTCCGAGTGTTGAATTCAATGTTCACTTTTATATTTACATACGCTCTATCTCTAATATTGACCACTTAATCCCATAAATATAGCACACTTTAAAACTATATTTCTTCATATATATATATATATATAAAAACATTGACGTCAACACTTAGAAGCGATAGGCTGTTTCATGCTAAACGCAATCGTCAGGCGGCCTTAGGATTTCGTCTAGCATGAAACAACTTCGCCTCCGTGTGTTGACTTCAAAGTTCACCTATATATATATATATATATATATATATATATATATATATATATATGTATGTATGTATATATATATTTGTGTGTGTGTGTATACAGTTAGAACATAATGAGATGTAGAGATAGAGTTTAAAATATGAATAAATTTGATAGGATGCTTAAATAAAGAATACGTAAGAAATAGGAAATAGTATAAAAAATTTTCGACGTACATATTGAATCATTAGATGGAATCAAATATTCGACATATACGGTTAATAAATCCTTGCCATAAAATATGTAATCATTAGACGGAATGTGAGTTTTGTCATATTTCTTTAATAAATCCTCGCCGGAAATCTGTAATCATTAGACCAACGTTTCTGAATTCAGATTTATCCTTCTCCTAGATCAGTTGCCATCCAAGCCTATAGAACCCAGTCTGGTCTGCTATTTACCCATAGCTGGTGGGTGGAGATTCATACCTTTTTCAAGAGTATTAGCACGTAAGTGAATGTAGCAGATTCGAATGGAATTCGAACTTGGCTCTCCGATTCCTCAATCAAACCCGCTATCCATTACTATATATGTCCAATTTTTTTATTATTATTATTATTATTGTATTGAATAATTTAGACAAGTTTTGTCTACTCATTTTCAACTGAATCCTTTCATATTCACGAACAAAATTGAATCAAATCCTTAATAAAATTAATTATGAATACAAATGTGTTAAAATATGTACAATAGATAGTTTAAAATATCAAGGTTTGCACCAATAGTTTTATTACTTATTTCTTAAAAACTCTCGACAAACCATACTTAGTTATCTCCCCTGAATCGGTGCCTAGCGATCACATACTCACACAGCGTTCTTCACTTCACAAGGAAAAAAAATTAACTTTCAGATGAACACAGCAATTTTGTCTTTTCAAATGATGAACACTACAATATTTGTCTTGAAATAAATCACACCCTGATGATGACATTGTGCTATATCGAAAGTACTCGGAATAAAATAATATGTATCAACACGGTAATTTTCTCCCTTCCTTTAATAATGACATAAAAAGAACTGTCTGTGAATATGAAAGGATCCAACCTAAAATAAGTAGATAAAACTTGTCTAAATTATTCAATGAAACATATCTCAATGAAAACATGCTGCCAATATATATATATATATATATATATATATATATATATATATATATATATATATATATATATATATATATAATAATCGATTGGCATATAATCCATTCTAATAATATAATATATTAATCAATGTATTTATTATAAAAGAGCAAATATAAACTACTGTAATCCCCCATGTATAACACGCTTCCATCCATAATCCGCTCTCAAAAAATTATGCTGAAAGTGTGAGAAAATGCTTCTAGTCATGCATAATACGCACCCCTTGTTTGGTAATCAAACCCTATAAATTGTACCTCTCCAATTTCATTACAACCAGAGTTTCCTACTCTTACTTAAGAAATAATAAATGATTTTAAACATAGAATAATTTTATTCTAATTTAGTTTTATGATCATTTTTTTATTTTACAGCAATTTTTTAAAGAATTTTTGTATCTGTGCATAATACGCACCCCTGATTTTGCTTATTAATTTTAGAAAAATACGTATTACACTTGGGAAATCATGGTACATATAATAGGAATTTAAAATTAGCTTATAGTAATGATCATTTCACCTTACACGTTTTCCTTATATAGATTTTCTAAGTGACTAAGGTAATCGATGTTACTACTTTCACTATTGGGTGGGGTTCATAGAATGTTGTTTTGAAGCTGGAGAAGATGGAGCCGATAAAGTAGGTCTAATTTTTCATTCGGATATGTAACGTTTTTCCTTTAAAGATTCTTTTAGCTGCTGTAATCTTTCTTCCTTTTCAAAGGAAGGCTCATACTTCAGCGTGTCTTTCCTTAATTATTCAGAATAGCTGGCCGGGGAGATACCCTTGGAACTGGTAGAGGTTAGCGGGACTGTGCGTGTCTTTTGCCTTGGGAACTTCAGTGAAACGAGGTTCCATTGCCCAAAGCTACCCTTTAGCACTGCCAACGACTTGCTATTCCCCCTTTCACTTCTCCACAACCGCACGAGCATCGGGCAAAGGCTTTTCGCGAAATGAAGGGAGAGAGACAGACCCAACAGGGCGTTTAACCATCTCGGTCCCGATCGCTGGCATGCCCATTACAGGCGAGACGGAAATAACAGATTCGTCCAAAAAGGGATTTGGGCCGGCGGAGGCCAGAACTTCAGAGGCCTTCCTCTCTGAGCATGAAAAAGGACAGGTGACCAATCTGCCCACACTTCCAGCAAGTTAGTCTACGCTCGGTGACAATTATTGGCATTTTCTGCCCTCTACATTCAGTTGGGGATGGAGATGAAGGCCTTCCGATCAATCATCATTTCAAAATTCCATCCCGGTCATATCATTAGAGGAACCACTGAATATCTGTCCGAATTGGCACAGATAGGCGGCCAAGTGCTCCCCGATGATCAGAGGCGGAACCTCAAATACTTATACACGGTCCTCCACCTGCTTTCATATTCCGTTCGCACAATTATGTCTTTCGTTTTATGATCCCGATTTGAAGCGGCTTCACAGTCGGGAGGCGTGTGTAATAGTACGTCCCACGTGAAGTATCCCTTTTCTTTTATCACCATCTGAGGTTTGATTCCCAGAGACGTCAATGATTTTATGACTGTCTTTTGTGGAGTGGCAAATTTTGCTCGAAGGCTTGTTCACCACAAAGACTGACAATTCTTTTTTCAACTTTCTGTAGTTCCTCGGGATTAACTAAAAGTCCATCTGCTGTGACCAGATTTGCGCAGCTTTTGACTTTCTCAAGGAACTCCGTAATGTTAATAGCACACTTTGGAGGGGAATTCAAGCAAGAGTGCGTTTCTCCGATCGCTAAGTTGTCATCTTTTTTGTTGTTGTCGTCGTCGTTATTAGTCTCTTGGCCTTTATCGGCCAACATATTTTGTCTCAAAATCATGGTTTCTAAATTTTGGCCATTTACAGCCATCATACTTTTTGTGGATTCCTCAACATTAAGGCAATTTTCGGTATCCATATTACTGGATTTCATTGTCGATAGTATCGGGAACTTCCAACTGCTTATTGGCTGGGTCTTTCTTTTTTTGACTCGAATAAAAAATTTTGACAATCTTCTTGGCGTCCATTTTTTTATCATTTTAAAACAAGCCCCTTATTTTTCCTTTTACACAAAACGGAAACAGAAAATTAAAATATAAATAAATACAGATAAACACGAAAAAATCACAGAAACAGATTCAACAAGACAAAATGATAACAAAAACAGTTAAACGTACAAAAAAGGGTTACTTAAAAAAGAAAACTTACGCAAAAGACAGACGAGAACAAAAGTTAGAATTTAAAAATGGAACAAGAAACGAAAAATTAAATAAACATTAAAGACAAAATAAGACAGATAACAGAAAAACGGTTACGCAATAAGTCCCTTTTATTTAAATAATACAACAATAATAAAAAAGCGATATGCTACAAAAATAAATACGAAACGAGAAATTGTTAAAATTAACAAATATTACAAAAACAAGATGGCTGCCGTTAAAAACAAGGCAGCCCAATAACAAACGAAAATACGAAAAATAAAATTACGAACAAAAAACGGTCAGATTAGACAAAATATACACGAAAAATTAGAAAAATAAGCACACAGAAGACTTAACAGATATTTAAAAAGTAAAACAAAAAACAAAGTAACACGTAATAAATAAACAAGGAGAAGTAAAGTCGGATGAAGAATTAACACGTATAATAAATAGACAAAAAAAAATTAAAGTCTTGCGGGTTGTTTTATAGAAAATATAAATATATTCAAAAATAACTTTAAAATAAGAGAAAATCAAAAAACTAATAATAAAAGAATAAGAGCAAATAAAAGGAAAATAAAATGTGAGGAGGGTAATAAACTGAAAAAGAAAAATCTTTTGCAAAAAACAGTCAGTAAATAGAACATAAGAAAAAGGTAAAATAAATGAAACTTAACGTAAACGGAATTTGCAGTTCAAAATAACAGTTCATTGGCAGAAAACACATCAGGTGACAATCACCGGTTGTTAGCGGTCTGCAAAATAAGAAACTCCCACTACTACCATAGCGAAGAGTTCCAAGCGATTTTAAGAACGACAAAAAAATATGATTTACTTAATATTAGTGTAGACAATTTTAATATTTTTTTGGTGGGATACATTAATTTTTATTATTATTTAGGGGTGGTCAGTTTTTAAACTACCCTTGTATCGCCATGTATTGTGATTGTAAATTCGGTCAAATTTAGGTGGGAGATGTGGGTGTCTATTCATTGACATTTACTTTCGTTTTTTTTTTTTGTTTTTTTTTTCCAGCAGTTATTTAAGATACTGTCTTATTTTTAAACATCGCCTGGGTTAAATGACATTATATTTGGCCTTTTCATTTTTTTAAAATTCTTATTTTTATAAATATCAAGATTTTCT